ACTGTTTTGAGATTTGATCTTCCCTCGGCTAAAATAGCTACCATCAAGAAAGAAAAAAGTCAACAAGAGCTGGCAAGGATATGAGGAAGAGGAATGGTTACCCACTGTTAGTGGGACTGTAAACTGGTGTCACCATTATAGAATGGAGTGTTTCTTTTTGCTTGTTTGGGTTTGTTTTGTTTCATTTTTCAAGACAGGGTTTCTTTCCTTGAACTCAGAGATCTTCCTGCCTCTGACCCCTGAGTGCTGAGATTAAAGGTGTGCGCCACCAACACGTAACTAAGTGAGTGTATGGTGATATTTTACTTGTACTGAAATGTGATTTTATTTGTATGTTAATAAATAAAGTTGCCTGAGGGTCAGAGCAAATAGCAAGCCATAGCAGAAGCTGGGCGGTGGTGGTATACGCCTTTAATCCCAGCACTTGGGAGGCAGAGCTAGACAGATCTCTGTGTGTTCAAGGATACAGCCAGCATGGAGACACACACCTTTAATCTCAATACCAACCACAGAAGACCTGGAGGTCTGTATAGATGGGCGGTGACGAGGAGGTCATGTGGTTAGGTTTACACCCAATGAGAGGCAGAATAGAAAGTCAATAAAAAGGACAAACACACAGGAAGTAGGTCTCTTGCTGAGGAGGACAGCAGCGGCAGTGAAGGGTAAGGTTTTTAGCTCTTAGCTATCGCTCTGACCTCTTGGGCTTTCATCTCCGCATTGGCTCTGTTTCATATTTAACAAGACGATTACATCTACATGAGTGTTTCTCAAAAAGCTAAAAGCAGAACTACCATATGATCCCATATTGCATTCCTGGGCATAGAAAAAATGGACTACATATTCTACTACAGAGAAAATGCACATATATCATTGTTATTCTATTCACATTATCTAGGAAATGAAATCAACCAGGATGCCTACCAATTAAAGAATTGATAATGAAAATGTGGTACATATACACAACAGAATTTTATTAGGCTGCAAAGAAAAATAGGCTGCAGGGAAATAGAAGGAACTAGAAAATATGCCGAGTGAAGTACCCAGACCCAGAGGGACAAACATGATTGTTCTCTGTTATATGTGGATGCTGGCTTTGAATTTTTAGATTTGTGTATTTAATTTGGAATATCTTGTAGAGCTCAGGACGCTGAAAAAGACACATGCAATGGGAAGGGAAGCGGCCTCAAGGGGTAAGAATACATTAGAACACATATGCTGTGAAATAAAGGAGGAATACTGAGGATTAAAGGATTAAGAATGGATGCGGGTGGGGAGACAAGGCAGAGGAAGCAGGGTGTAGTTGAACCCAGACTAAGAATATATGAAAAGTCCTTATGGAAACCCAACACTTTGTAAACTAATTTAAAAGTTCCTTAAAAGAAGGAGTTTGACCAGAGGTACTCTGCATGGCAGACAATGCCTCCTCCAGAAGACATGAATTATTAAGCAAAAATTCACTGCAAGACATGGGATACCTTCCTACAAGTTATTAGTCAGGGAGGCCCCAGAGACCCCCAGCAATGCAGGCTATTGCCATTGTTCTTGGTTGTCCAGAAGTAGATGACAAAACCCTATTGCTGAGGACACAACACACTTTGCTTGATGGACAAAGAAATCAACTGGACCTGACCTAAAAACTTCCTTCCGCTGACTAGCTTTCATAGTGCCAGAGGTGCTATGCAGGCTGCTGGGAGAAAAAGCCATTGATAGTATCACTCAGCAGCAAAACCTGCATGCTAAAATACTAACCTGTTCGGCAAGATGTGCCCACTGGTACAATAGTGGTACAAAGGTTATGGGGTTAAATACCACATTTTTATTGGGTTTGAAGCACACTTTACAATAGAGAATTCATGTCTGATACATGAATCAAAACCTGGTCAAAAGCCTATAGTTAGGAAGGTCATAGACCCTAGTGGGGAGTTCATTACTGTTGTCTTGTGTAAGGATGTGTTGTCAAACTGCCTTCTTAATATTTGTGTTTATACACACAGATTAGTGCTGCCTGTATCCTTGGCTAGAGAAGCTCCTCTCTATAGTGGTGAGCAGTCAATGCAGAGGTTCAAAACTGGCCAAAATGTTGAGAATAGTGAGCACTGAGTGCTCAGCCATGACATGACATCTTTATCAACACATCTTTCCTTTTCCTGCTGTCACCAAGGCTCAGGAACATTGTCAAAAGGGGGAAGGAAAACGTAGGGGTTGGAGGATGGGAAGGAGTGCTGTGAAGTGCTGTCTTCTGACATGATATGCTCACTGCTCTCAGGGACTCACTACAGCTACGGTCACCTGCACAAGACCACGCCAACAAGATCAGTCAACATTCCAGCCAGCAGCATTAGCGCAACTCAGTCAGTTACAAAGAAATCAATCAAAAAGAAAGGACATAAAAGGTGGAGAGGGGCATGTTGAGGGAACCTGGGGGGATAGAAAAGGGCACTCTGGGGTATACATGATAAGATGCACTGATTATATATATGAAGTTTCCAAAGAATAATAGTAAAAAATATATACGGATGAACACTCTTTAAAAACAATAACAAAATATTTCTCATTTTTCCACATACTCCAAATCTGAGACTCTTGGAAAATTTTAAAGGCAAAGTTCCACAGGGTGTTCCACAGCCAGCAACACAAACAAACAAGAATATTCTGAACAGCACATTAAAGAGACTCAATAGAAATTATCAAGACTTTTGGTAAACATGACAGCATAATACTGACAAATGGGTCAGGACAATAATATATAGAGAATATGAAGTGAAAAAAGACAACTACTAAGGTAAGGTTCTTTTTAAATCTACACAGGAAAACATCTGGTCCTTATCTAATCTCAGAATAAAGAGGGTTATGCAGAAATGGCAGATTACTCTAAAAAAGGACATGGTTTAGAGTAAAGAGGTCTTTTCTTGCCATGTTACTCTCCACTGTGTCAGTGAAGGGAGTCTGCTCACTACATCGCTTCGGGAGCCCACATTGACGGAACAGCAGCTGTCATGCATAAAAATGGTTGTCTATTTGTAGCTCATAGTCCATAATTAATAATATGGCTCCATTACTTATAAGGAACCACAAAAGCAATCCTCCTCCAAGTACAGGGAGAACATTTTTTTAGGGAGCAGCAATGCCAAAACCAAAGGCATATGAGGGACTCCACTGCTCCAGACAGCCTCTTACAGTTCTTGGCACACGCAGTATTTTGCACACCCTCTAGAAGGGATGTCCACACCTTCGTAAACCACTGTTCTGGTTAGTAAGCTCCAGAAAGAAAGTGAGAGAGCCAAGGTATAGCCTTCCCCAAGTGTACAGTATGTACATTAGGTTCTCAGAAACAAATGACACTATCTCCAGACTAAGCATTTTCCTTGATAAGGAAAAGGACATTTTACATTTGGTAATTCATGTAATCCTGAGAAGATCATTGGCAATTCTTGCTATCATTATTCCTACTCATTAAGGAATGCTAATTTGGGAGCCAGTAAGATGTGCTTTAGGGTGCAACAGTGGATCAGTAGGTAAAGGTGCTTGCAGCTTGCTACCAAGCCTGATGAACTGAGTTTGATCCCAAGACCTACATAGTAGAAAGAATTAACTCCCATAAACTGTTCTCTGACCTCCACATGTGTGCGTGCTGTAGCAAGCATACATACATGTGCATGGATACACACAAAATAAGTGAAAATGTGATTTTAAAGATTAATGTTAATTTGCTTAGTGGACTTGGTACTTCTGTCCCTTCCAGACCTGCGACAGTTCCCCGACAGCTACCTCTTCCTCTCTGCTTCAACACAATTGCTCCTAGGTCACCGGTCTCCTTAGCTTCCTCCACAACTCACTTTCTCCCCTCGCACTGGGCACTAGTAGTTCTGAACTCATCAAAAGTTACCCAAAGGACAAACCTCCTGCAGGAACAACTATTCCCTCTGCAGGACTAACTCAAGCACTGGCCCTTCTGTCCTCTACAGCCACATCTTACTAATTTGGAGTCTTGAGAATCTTCCCATGTTAGTTCCAACTGACATTCAGTGAGGAAGAAAAAAGCCATCCAGAAAAGCATTAAAACTGGTATTTTAATGAAGGCTGTTCTTTTGAAGTCTCCTACAGAACACAATGACTCCCTCTGCCTCTGTCACTTAGAAACAGGGGTACATGTGCCATTATTTGATGTGGTTCTAGACTCAGCTGCCCCCTAAAACTACCCTAAGGGAGAGGGATGAAGGAAAAGCAAATATTCAAAAACTCGGATATCCAGAATCCTTGATCTCCCAAAGATCCACCCACTCTCATCCTTCTGTAATTCTGCATTTAAGTTGGCTGGAGAGCAATCCTAATTAGTACCTTCATATTACAAACGAGTCCTAGTTGACTCCACCAGCAAAGATCTATATAGTGTTATAGGGAATGATTTAAATTTCTAGTCAAAACTGGACAATCATAAATGGTAATCTGAAATCTGAAAGAGTAATAGTAACATAAAGTAACATATGACACCACAAATACATATACCACAAAAAGATATTACATGTCATTCAAAATCCTTGCTATGTTAGAGAAACTTTGAATATATATAAATGTAACCCAAACACTTAGAAAATCTCCATTGTAAAGGGGGAAAAAAGGATTTACAAACTGGCATAAAAAACAAACGAACAAAAAACCAAGATCTCTAAAGGGAAATAAATTACATTCGCCATTAAAAGCAACTGCAAAATAGTTATGGTTCAATTTGTGCAATCATCCTAACTTGCTAAAACTATTTTGAAATATTTATTTCATGACATTAACATGATGCCAGAGATCTGAACTAAGAAAATCTTGTGGAGGGGGATAAGACAGAGAACAAAGGAATACAAAGGAGGCAGGTTCTATGTTGGTAACTGTTGAAGATAAAATGGAGATTTTATTATTCTATTCTTTCTAATGTCATATGTTTAAATTTTTCTCCATTGAAAAACTTTTAAGATATTTAAAACTCATATTGTAGAAACTAAGACTAGTACCTTCCAATCTTTGAATTTTTCCTTTCACAGAGATAACAGCTTCAAAGGGTGAAACTCTTAGTTCAAAACATGTTCCAGTCAATGTTTCGATGAAGAGTTCCATGGTGTCATAGAAAGGAAGTTTGAAGTAAAATGGTCCCACGTTATCTTCATTGAAGAATGGAGGCTCTTTTCTGTTATCCATTACTTTGACTTTTCTAATTCCTCTGGAATATGTTGTATGCAACTGTATTCCAGTTCTACCCAAATCAGCTTTGAACATTGGTAATATGTATCGTTGTTCATGTTTAAGTTTTGTACCTGAAAAAACAAAAGTTCATTTTTTAAAACAAATCTTTAAGTCCCTTCTTTGTTAAGGTTTTCCAAATAACTCTGGCTCATACTGGTCTTCCAAACAGTCTCAACTTACTTTACTAACTTTACCTGTGTCTAGTAATGAACTTTCCTTCCCTGCCTCTGAAATCACTCCTGATGTACATTATTCATGAAGAATAGATAAACTTTTGATTCCTTATGGTACCTTACCAGAGTTTAGCATTGTTGCTAATATACAACACATGATTGACAAACATTTTTGCTAATATTCAAATTCTACATATCAATATAGTTTTGTAAGACTTTCCAAGTGTATGTACATCCATTTCTAAAATATGTTTCTCTTTTAAACCATATAAAACTTTAGCATCTTATACATAATTACACTGGATGAAAAGAATGGCAAACAACCTAATAAGTCCCTTTAAAATTGATCCACTAAATAAATAACCAATGGTAATGATGTAGACACTAGATAGTCTCTACTCACAAGCATACAAGAGTAAGAGAGACAAACACAACGGATAGACACTAAGGTAAGTTAATAGTGTAGAACTGGCAGCAAGAGTGTTCAATGAACACTGCTGTTATTTGGAGAAGATCTCATGGGGGGGAGGGCGGAGTCCTAAACTTAAACAACACAAATGAGTACCTTTCTGGAGAGATGAGGAAATCTTTTTTCAAAGTAGTTTTGTTTAAATATAATTCACATACCATAAATTGACTTACTTAACATCCTAAATTCACTCATTTTTAATGCAAAAAATGTTCAACCACTGCAACCATTATTTCCCCCAGTGATGGGGGCTGACCAAGGGCTTTGGGTATGCCAACCACGAGTTCTAGCCGTGAGTGACGTCAATAACCTCTTGCAATCACCTTTACAATATTTTCACCACCCCAAAAGCCTTACACCCAATTGCCATTACTCCCAAATTTCCCCATTGTGGAATATTCCTTTACACTGTCTGAATATATGCCGCTGTGACTGGCTTAATAAAGAAGCTGACTGGCCTATAGGTAGGTAGGATAAGGTTAGGCAGGAGAACCAGATTAAGAGAATGTTGGGAAGGAGAAGGGCAGAGTCACAGGAGTAGTGAGCCAGATGCAGAAGAAGCAACATGGGAAGTTCGTAGATGAAGTAAACGAGCCACAGGGCCACACACAGATTAATAGAAATGGGTTAATTTAAGTTGTAAGAGCTGGCTGGAAACAAGCCTAAGCTATTGGCACAGCAGTTATCATTAATAATAAGTCTCTGTGTGGTTATTTGGAAGTGACTGCCAGGACACAGAGAAACTCCATCTACACCCCATTCTAAGTCCAAGGCAGCAACTATTCCACTTACTTTCTCTATAATTGCTTATTGCAGACACTTCACATAAATGAAATGATACAATATATGGTATTTTGTTACAGGCTTCATTGCTTTGCATAAAGTTTTCAAAGTTCATCCATGCATTAATACTTCATTCATCTGGTGGATGAATAATAGTCCCTTGTATGGACCTGGTGCATATTATCTCTCCAGGCACTGATTTAGGAGCCTGGGTAGGTTCCAATTTGGAGCTAATTCATACTGTTATAATGAACAATCAGCTATCATTTGGACAAGTTTTCTTTTCTTGATGATACATAGAAGTGTATCATCAAGATTTCTTGATGATACATCTAGAAATGGGTATGCTGGGTCACATGGCAACTGTACTGGGCAATTTATGGAATTATTAAACTGTTTTCCACGTAATTTGGATCATTTTATAATAAAGTAACAATAAATTGAGAGTGTAGATTTCTTCACATTTTTGTCAATACTTTTTATTATCTTTTTACTAAAGCTATCCTAGTGAGTACATGGTAGTGCACCATGGTTGTAATTTATACTCTCAAATGATTATGAGCATCTTTTATGCAATTATAGGCCCTCTGCATCTCACCCTTGGAGAAATATCTATTCATAGCCTTTGCCCACTCTTTACTACTGGATTGAAAGTATTTTTTTAAAAAGTATCCTAAAGGACAGGGAAGAGAGGTTGTGAGAGGGAGTACAAGGAAAGACAGCTAAAATTAAGGGCCATTTGAGGCAAAATATAGAAACCTAGTACAGTAGAAAATATATACATATATGAAGGTAAATTAAATGAAATCACCAAATAATAGGGGAGATAGCATCCCAGCTGGCCATCTTTTGTCACCAAATGAAGCTTCCAGTGCTAGGACTGGGTTACATCTAATTGAGTTGTTGGCCAAAGGGGCCCACGGGAACCCCCAAACAATGCAGGCTGATGCCAAGGCTATGGGTTCCTCTGCACAAACTGACAGCAAGGCCCCAATGCTGAAGACAACACCTACACAACTCATTGAACATGGAGACATCGAGCTGGTGCCTGCATAGAGCCTTCACCCCCACATTCCGGCATCTTTGATAAAGGAAGGCACTCTCCATGCTATCAAAAGAGAAATGTAAACACTGAGCCAACCACAAACCCTTTACCTATAATGGTATACTGCCTGCAAGATAGGCTAGGGCAATGGTGGCACAAAGCTTGGGAAAGTAACCAACCAACAACTGTTATGATTTAATGCCTACTTCACAAGATGGAACCCAAACCTGACACTGCTTGAGACTAAATAGCCCAAGGACCTAGGGTAAAACCAAATCATACTAGTCTAAGAAAAGAAAAAAATGTAGTGATAAAAATGACTCCTAATAACATTCTGCTATACTCACAGATTAGTGTCTTGTTCAGCCACCATCAGAGAAGCTTTCTCCTATAGCAAATGGGAATAAATATAGACCCACAGCCAGACATTATGCAGAAAGTAAGAGACCTTGGAACACTCAGCCTTAATGGGATGTCTCCATTACATCCCTCCCCTCAGAGCTCAGGGAACCCCACAGAAGAGGAGGTTGAAAGAATGTAAGAACCAGAGGGGATGGGGGACACCAGAAGAACAAGACCCTTTAAATCAACTGTGCAAAGCTCATAGGAACTCACAGAGACTGAAGCAGCAAGCACAGGGCCTGCACAGGTCTGCACCAGGTCCTCTGCAAGTATATTATGGCTTCCAGTTTAGTGTTTTTGTGGGATTCCTGAGTGTGGGAATGAGTGAGTCTCTGATTCCTGTGCCTTCTCTTGGGCTCTTTTCTCTCTGTTGGTTTGTCTTGTCCAACTTTAATCTGATGGGTTTTGTTTTATCTTTTATTTTGTTATATTTCTTAAAAATGATTGAATGAAAAAGTAGTCACTTGGTGCCATTATCAGAGAAGCAGCAGGTGGCATTGACTTCAGGAGTCCGGCCCACCAGAATGCAAGGCACTGATGAGTAAATTCAGATAGACAAGGCCCCAAGGACTTTGGCTCCTGAATGTCTCTTGCTACTGCTGTGCCTTTACATGTTTGCCACTGTCGTTTTTCTCTGATATTTGGCATGGTGTGAATGGGTGTGGGGGAGATCCCCACTGCCTTTAATGTAGTGTGATTATTTCATGGAACTATCCTGCTCTACTGGGCATTTTTACATGTGGATTATTATGAAGATGATTTCCTCTTAAATTGTACTGTTTAAAGTATTACCCCTGCCCCTGACAAAGCAGGGGTTGCAGAGGATAGAAAATAGGAACAAGGAAGTGTCACACAGATAGGACTTATGAGTTTCTCTTCAGGAAAACAATCAGGTCCCAGGAGTTACCTCAAGTTCTTATCGATATTGGGAAATGTGTTCATGGATTTTGGTGTGCATTGTGGCTAAAATAAAGCTTTAAACAATGGACTTCATGTAACTAGAAAACAAAGAATTAGATGGTTAGTTAAGATAATTGGATTGGACTCTAAAATATGAAAAGTGAAACTAGCAACTTGTTTTTCTGGCAATAATAAAAACTATGTAAACAGTTAAGGCTCTTGATCTATGTTTTTCACCTGTAATATGTAAAATGTTTAATCATGTAAGGGGATATGAAAAACATCTTGGTTTTTACTTATACTCATTGTAATCATTTACTTAACAAACAAAATATAACCACACTGCAAATTTTATACTGCTTAAATGATTCTGCTGAGGTATATAAGCTGTAAGGAAAAAATAAAGAAGTTAGAAGGAAAATACCAGGAAAGATGTAGAAGGTAGACATCAGGAAGTAGTGAGAAGGAAGTCATTAGGAAGAAAGGAAGGAAAACATCAGGGTAGAAGAACAGAGCAAAAAGGAAGAGAGGAAACAAACAGGAAAAATAATAAAGAGAAACTTTTATCCCTCAGAAAAAGAAGTCTGTGTGTTTCTTCTCACTGACTCTGCAGCTCATTCCCAGGCTCTCTGACCTGCAGAGGGCTGGGCCCTCTGCACACTAAAGGTTAGCAACTTCACTATTAATGGCGTGGCACTGCCATTCCAGGACAAACCTCGTGTTCAGGAGTAGCTGACCAACACACGATGAACTCCGTTTTGTGTGTGTGTGTGTGTGTGTGTGTGTGTGTGTGTGTGCGCGCGCGCGCGCGCTTCTATTTGGTTACAGTTTGTTGTGGGTTTTTTGTTTGTTTTTATCTTTTTGGGTGGTATTTTATTTTGTTTTCTTGGTTCTGTTGTTGTAATTCTAAAGAGAAGAATGTTCTCCCTAATAAGTAAGGAGACTTACTTTTAGGGCAGTTTTAAATCCACAACAAAACTGAACAGAAGTTACAATGAGTCCCCACAGGCACCTGTTCCTCCCCTATATCCTGCACTAACACAGTACACTATTAACAACTGGGGACCCGACACATCACTGTCACCAACACAAAAGCTTACACTAGGGTTCGCTCTTGGTGGGGTACCTACATCTTTCAGGTGTAGACAAACATATGAAAACATGTATTTACCAGGACAATGTCAGGGTAGTTTCAGTATTCTAACAATTCTGTGTTGGGGCTATTGATCCTTCACCATGCCTTGAATTCTCAGCAACTTTTGATCTTTTTAGTGTTTCCATAGCTTTGCCCTTTCCAGAATGTCATGCAGTTGGAATCACACAATCTTCAGCAGTTTCAGAGTGGTGTCTCTAAGGAACACACATTTAAGGCTCTTTTGCAACATTTCACACCTTGATGGCTTGTTTCCTTTAAGTGCTAAACTATGCTCTATTGTCTGGATGCAATACAGTTTCATTTATCCATTCTCTTACTGAGAAATAGCTTACATACTCCATTTTTTTTTTGAAATTATGAACAAACTTGTAGATTTTGTACACGAGTTATGGTTATATATTTTAAACTTATTTAGACTAGATTTTATTACAAGAGCATTTTCTACTTTTTGTGCATGTGTGTGTACATTGTGTGCATATGTACATGTGCATTGTGTACAGTTGTGTACATTGTATACACATGTATATGTGCATGTGTGTACACTGTGTGCATGTGTGTACACTGTGTACATTTGGAGGCCAGCGGTCAACATCAGATATCTTCCTCTATCATCTTCCACTTTATGCTTTTCAGGCATCACTGACCCTGATGCTCATCGATTCACCCTGACTCGGGGACTGGCAAGCCGAGGACTCTTCACTGTCTCCACACCTCAGCCCGAGGATCACGGGTGCACATCACTGTGCCAAGCTGTTCTTGCAGGCACTGGGCATCCAAACTAAGATCCTCAGGCTTGTACGGTTAGCATTACTTCCGACAGCTGAGCCCCACCCTACCCGACTGTGTTTGGTTTTCTTTTAAAGAAACTGCCAAACAATATGCAAAAGTGGCTAAATCATTCTGATTTCCAGCACCAACGAAGAGTTTCTAATATCCCATGTCATCACATCATTTTGCGCTGTCAGTGTTACGGGTTTTGATTTCAATTGGCAGTTCTTTAATAACACATGATGTAAGCACAGCTATCCTTTGAAAATATAGACTGACCCTATTATTTCTAGCTGAAGGCCCTATCATGGCTTCCACTGTCTGTACAATAACTTTCAAACTCCTTAGAAAGACTTGTCCACATACACATTCCATCTCCCAGCCCATTTTCACCTATCTACACACTTCCCCCAGCGTATCTATGGTTCTTCCACCTTCTAGTTGTAGCCCCTATTTTATGGCTCCTGCTTTGTCCCACTCAGTGTCAACTCCACACATGGCTTCCTAAGTGCCTAATCATTCCTCAAAACTCAGTTCTAAGGACTGTACATACACCTCAAGAGAGTGCCTGCCTGCAATACAAAGGACTACATACACCTCAAGAGAGTGCCTGCCTGCAATACAAAGGACTACATACACCTCATGAGAGTGCCTGCCTGCAATACAAAGGACTACATACACCTCAAGAGAGTGCCTGCCTGCAATACAAAGGACTACATACACCTCAAGAGAGTGCCTGCAATACAAAGCCATGGGCTCAATAACCAGCACTATACCTCTCCCCAAAAACCTCAGCTCAGGTATCAACTATCCCATAAAATCTTTTATACTTACTATCTTTTGTATCCATGTCATATATGACACCATCAAAACTGCACTGCTTACATACCTGTCAGTCTTGTGCTAGTAAACTATAAGCATTTAAGGGAGGAATGACTTCTCCATCACTCAGTATAGCATCCTGTACATACTGGCACCCATTAACGGTTGTTCAATGAAATTCAATTAAAAACAATTTTAAGAGATCTCCATTGATCTTTATATTAGACAAAATTAATGATATATGTAAGGGTATTATCCTGTCACAGAAATGAAGAAATAGTGGTTATGCTCCAAAACTGTTTGGAGGAATATTGGTTTCTTCTGGGAATCTCATTCTGATTCACCCCATCAGAATTTATAAAAATCATAACAAACATGTACACACAGGTATTTCTGCTGCAGAGAGAGTTTTTATAGTTCTAATATAAAATATTATTAGGAAACTTGAATTATGTAGATAGCTAATGTTCCCTTATAAACGGCATCATACAGCCAGGCAGTGGTGGCGCACGCCTTTAATTCCAGCACTTGGGAAACAGAGGCAGGTGGATCTCTGTGAGTTCAAGGCCAGCCTGGTCTACAGAGTGAGTTCCAGGACAGCCAAGGCTACACAGAGTAACCCTGTCTCGAAAAACAAACAACAACAAAAAAAAAATGGCATCACAAGAAGCAAAGCTGTTGCTGACAGCATAGTTGTTCTGAGTGGAGCTATATAACATATCAAAATGATAAGTAACAAATAACAGCAACACAAAGTACTGTGCTGTTCTACTGTCGGTCATAGTGAGAAGGGCACATTACTCTCTACAGTGGTACTGTTCAGGTTTCATTATCCTTACGTCATTTATAGTGAATGTGCAACTTAGTGAGAGTACTTTCCCAGCACATATTGGGCCCTAGGCTCAATCTGCATTTTCATAAAACAAAAAAAAAGAAAAAACAAAAACAAACCCCCCAGAATTACAGTGAAATACCCACTGATAACATGCAGATATGTTTTAATGCCCTTATCACATTATACCAAAGAGTATACAGTGATACACTGTATCAGTATACGGTATACACAGAGCTACAGAAATATCAGTGTCTGCTTCTTCAACAGCAATCCTACCTACAAAAAAGCAGTCTGGAAGTCACATGTTAGGAGTGCTGAGATGAACATTAGAGAAGGCACTGGTGACCAGTGTCTAGGAGAACAACTTTGAGGTGCTTTTTATCCTTGGTCCCTGAAGTAACGAACAAACTGAGGGGAAGTAGAAGGTCACAGATCTGGAAGTCCTAAATCTGAAGTGAGACTAGATCAAGTGACTCTGAGTAGAAGAAAATTAGCGCTGCAAGGAGTACAGTATCAATGGTGCTGGAACCTCCAAATGAAGTCTGGACCCAGTCAGCGGGAGAATTTTCTATGTACAAAAAGGGCCGAGGGCGGTAACCATAACTGAAAACAATTGTGTATAGAAAAGTTAAACTTCTCAACAACGCCTATCAGTGTAACGCTCTTGGGTCTGGATAAACCATAGTAGAATACTTCAGGACAAATGGAAGCTCAAGTGGGCCCGTCAGCACAAAAACTGGGCCCACTGAGAAGGACTGCAAGCCTCCTCAAAGTGGCATGCGGACTGCATGAACACTGGAAAACCAACGGACAGTGACAACCCATACTGATGTGAAATGATACAAGTCAGTGAAACGATGCTTAAAACTGATAAATTAGCTTAAAAGCTGGGAGAAAAACTTCAAAATGAATCTGCCACATTTATTTCATCATTTCAAATTTTCTAAAAACACAACCGCAAAAGCAGCAGTAAGTGCACGCAATAAGTAATTTCAGTACCTTGGACTTTTGCTTCCTTCTCGTCCAAAGAAACTTAGCCACACGACGAGTTAGCTTTTAAATTTTTCGCCCAACATAAAAATACCCACAACACGATGCAGTCATTTAAAATGCAGACACGTATACTTGTACAGATATGTGAAAATCGAACTAAAAAGAGTGGAATCCCACTCTAGCCTAGGACTGATGCCCAAGTGCGGCTGTGCCGCCCTGGGGCCAGGGACCACGGCCCGCAGGGACCACACTCAGGCCCAAAGTCGGGTCAGCAGCGCCGGGAACCGAGGGCGCGACCAGTCTGTACCCAGGGCGACGGCTGTCCGGGTCCCGAGAGTCCGGAGCAGAGAAGCGCGGAGGGCGCGACCAGGCTGCAGCCGAGGCGGGCGCACCTCTCCCGCCTGCCCGAGCCGCGAAGACGCAACGGGGCCCCTCAGCCGCCCGCCCGCTCGCTCGCTCGCTCGCTCGCTCGCTCGCTCGCTCGCTCGCTCGCTCGCTCGCCTGCCCGCAGGCCGATAAGGGTGAGCGCGCCTGCGACGCCAGCCGACGCTGGCCTGCCAAGCCCAGGCCCCGCCCTTTGTGACACCGCTCACCAATCGCCGGCCAGCGCTGCCGGCGCCCTCCAATCAGCCTGCGAGGGGCGGGGCCGAGTCTTCCGAGGCTGGCCGTTGCTCGGACGCCCGGGTCGCACGGGCGTTCAGGAAGGGTTGTCGGTTGGAAGAGGCCCGGATGTTGACCCTTTATTACTGACGCGGGACCCGGCTGGGGCAAGGCAGGAGGCTGGAAAGAGGCCACGGTCTACCGGGAAGAGTGGGCGCCAGGGCGCAGCAGCCTGGCTGGGGCACAGCTAAGGTTCTCTGGGGGATAACCTGTCCACTCGTGGCCTTGCCAGTGTCTGGAGCACCTAAAGGACGTCCAGGCTGGCCTGACTGAAACGCACCACCCTCTTTGTGCTCCACTCTTTCCTGGCATTTCTGACTCAATTGTATCATCTGTAAAATGGGGACATTCTTATACCTTGCTTATAAGGGCTTGTGACTTTTCTGTATACCTCTTGCATTTGAGCAATTACTGAGGACTATAGGTCAAACAGGTGGCTTGAGCTCGAAATTCCAGCATGCTTTTGCTGTTCACCAAGAGGTTAAACTGGGATATAAACTAACTTGGGCACTACTACTTCATTCCCTTAACAGGTGGTTCAACTCAAATGTTTTAGAGTGGACTGCAGAAGAGGTCAATGCAACCTCCAATAGTCAACTTGTGACTCGGGACTAGTCTGTGAAAGACACCCTTCAGTCTTCTCCCATCCTCTCAGAGACTTGAGTTTTTACCCACCAGTTTCCACAGTTCTCACAGTTCCTGAGCACTGAGGTGGAAGGTGTGGTGAGACCCTGGCCTTCTGCCAGCCTCCTGCTGGTGGCTCTTACACCCAGCCGGCGATCTGGGCTAGTAGCTTCAAACTGAGAACAGAGCCACGATGGTAATGTACAGAGGTCAGAATAGTGTCTGTGCGGGAAATTTCAACTACGAGTAACTCAGCATGGGTTCCAGCATCCGGTGGATGAGTTTAAATGTTTGGCTTCCACTTTAAAGGTGCATTACCTCATCAAGCCATATCACGGTCCTCACCTACCATTTTAGGGGGTAGACAGATAAAAGGGTCATTACCTAGTCTCAACAACAACCCTGCAGGCTCAAACTATTTACAAAGGAGGAAACAAAAGCTAAGAAAGGCAAACATATGCCTACAACTAAGCCATCCATTTCTTGAAACTACTAAACTCTGGCATTGTAAGTAGCCTGAATACAGCCACAGATAATGTGGAAATGATGGGTATGGCTGTGTTCCAATAAAACTTTCTTTCCAAAATCAAGACAGCAAAGGACCATAGTTCCCCTTAGATGATGGCAGAGGCATTCTTGGAATTCAATGGAAACCTCTTCGCACAGGTTTAGAATCTTTTACCTCCTTTCTCGTTCACCTGCCTAGACCATCTCTGCACTCAGTGCCCCTCCCACAGAGCAAGGACTTCAGGTCTTCTGTCTGACAACGGCTATCTCTGCATTCCCTGCCCACATATGAAAACCACAGAGATTTCTTTCTAGCATGCCCTTCTATGCAGTCTAAGTAAAAACAAACCACTGGGAATGAAGCACTTATTTTTTATTTGTAACCTTAAGCATAATTAAAATCAGTGCAGAAAAATATTAGTTACATTGGGTAAAGGTTGACCTGGTTGTTTCAGTATTTGCTTTGGGGATCCAGTGAAGACAGTGAGTGTAGGAGAGAGCATCAATAACTGCAAACAGAATGGGAGGATGAACTGTGAAGACCCCACATGCTCTACTGGCTTCCAAAGGCATTCAGGGGGTCATCAAAAATGTTGGACACTTTGTGATCAGATCTTAGTTCAGATGTGACCTCTGCAGATTGGCTTTTGGGTTTGGACATCTTAGACTGGAGACCAGAGGAGAAAATATCATCTTTAAAAAGAGAAGAAAAAAAAAAAAGCTGTTAAGATAGGCAAGAAAATGGGAATTTAAGACACATCCACACAAACTGGTGACCCAATTCTGATAACACACTGTACAGTACCAATACGAAAATCAAACCTTTTAGGTTCTGGTCCTGGCTCAGTTCGTGGCACCCAAATTTTATAATGATACATAAAAATCAGGTTCTTTTTTAGTATAAGTTTCTCACCTACAAAAGGGTGAATGTGCACATGAAGTGAGAAATAGTACAGCGGACTGCTTCTCTAACTCAGTCCTGGACACTGAACTTATTTCTATCTTCTTTCCACTCTGGCCTTTAAGGACAGTGAGAATGTGCAAAGAGAAATCCAATACAGAATAAAGGAGTCAATCGGACACATCTCCATGGTAAGAATGAAGTCTGATTCATTCATGTTAGTGTTTTAGACTTTTAACTATGCCACTTTCCCAGTAATGTAGAAGTAGTTTCTTGTCGGCTGCCAGCCCACAAATAATCACACAGACTAACTAATTATGAAAGCTTGGCCTACAGCTTAGGCTTGATCCTAACTAGCTCTTATAAATTAACCCATTTATATTAATCTATGTTCTATCATGTGGCATTACCTCTCTTCCATATTGCACCTCCGGTTTCCTCTCCATGTCTCCTGACATCTCCCTGGCGCCTAGACTCATGTCCCACTTCCTCTCTTTCTGCCTGGAAGTCCCACGTCCTGCCGAACTATTGGCTATTCACCTCTTTACTAAACTAATCACAGCAATATATCTTCACACAGTACACAAATATCCTACAACACAATGTTATTGGTAGGATTCTAACATACCAAATTTCAGCATGTTGTACATAAAGACAGGTGTACAAAAATGATAAAGACCATGGCATTATCTATAACAGAAACTAGAAATGATCTAGATTGCCCGTACTAAGCTAACAGCTAAACACAAAGCAGTATCACTCAAAACACTGAAATTAAAGATTTCTATGTACCAACATGGAAAAATATTTAAGATGTGACTAGAAGTAAAACAGGTAAAGTCTGTTCTTACTTTAAAAATTGACTCTGTGTAAATATACAATAGTGCTATGTCTTAAAGGATGTACAACAAACTATTAATATTGCTTAGCTTTAAAGCTTTTGTTCCTCCACTTATAAATTTTTCTAAGTTGTATGAAGGCTACCATAAGCATGTATGATAACTTAGTAATGAAAGAAAGTTATGTATGCCTGTGACCCCAGCAGCTGGGAGGGCTAAGATCAGGAGAGTGGTAAATTCAAGGTTAGCCAGGGCCACGCAAGATCACGTGTCAAAACATGAACAAAGAAAAGCAACCCAAGTCTCTTCTACACTCTATGTAGTAGGACACATGAGGATAGAGCCAAGGTTTGCCGAGGGGACAGACTAGTGTGTCTTTGAAACAAAAGCTTTCCCTGCCAGTCCCAAGGGACAGACCTAGAGGGACAGAGGAAGAGAGGACATGTCCCAGCTCCAGTCCGGGTCTACCAACACATCAGGAGCCCAACATGGAGAGTTATCAGCATTTGGCTTGCTTGTTAGCTGAGGAGTGGGTGCAGTGTGTTCATACATACATAGAATTCAGGGAGAGGCCAAGTCTGACATGCGTGATTCCACTGCACAGGCCTGCTCTCTTGTACTGACCCTCCAGTCCTTAAGCTGCTGTCCCTCACTGTCCAGCTGCTATTGTGACTCAACCGGTTTCATGGCCTGCTGATGGATTTGCCTTTCAAAACCAGTGCTTGTCAGATGATGGCGGTGAGCACTGAGATAACAGTGAGCTTCTACTTTCAGGTCAAAGGCTGGGCACTGTCTTAAACCTTGATACTCAGCATAACATAGGGTGGCCTCATGAAAATGACTAACTAGTCCATCTACACATCACATTCTTAGACTATCCAGGATTCCACAGCAAAGAAAAGAAGACCTACTGAGTGCTGTGGAATAATCTTCTGTACACTGTGAATATATATCACTATGATTGGTTTAATAAACCAACTTACTGATCGATAGCTGAACAGGATAACAGGAAAGCCAAACTAAGAATGATAGGAGGAAGAAGGGCAGAGACAGAGGAGTCACCAGCCAGATGCAGAGAGCAGGAGATGAACATGCCATGGTAATAAAGGTACAGCCACGTGGCAGTGCATAAATAAGGAATATAGGTTAACTTAAAATGTAAGAGCTAGTTAGTAATAAGCCTGAGCTATTGGCTGAGCATTTATAACTAATATAAGCCTTTGTGTGATTATTTAGGACTGAGCAGTCAGGAAAGGAAACATCTGTTTACAACTGAGGAACAAAGTCCAAGAAAGGGCCAATGTGAACAACAGAAAATGTATTCAGTCAGTGAACAGTGATGCTTTCTGGTGCACTGCAGATAGCCATACTTACAGAAGGGGCAAGAAACCCATACTCACCTGTATCATCATCAAACATAGACTTGGCTTCCACTTTCTTTTTGGACTTTTCTTTGGGTTTTACAGTTAGGTCAGCAAAGATATCAATATTATCATCAAATAAGTTGGGTTCCAAAGTTCTCTCCTTCTCTCTCTTTTTTTGAAAAGGTTTAACTGCTTCCGTAGCAAATATATCATCCTAGTTAAGCCAAAAACAACTTTTATAAATAAAAGTATTTTTAAAACTAAAAATAGTTCAATAATTCATAGATATGAAGTGACCAGGATACTCATACAGACTTCCCCATGGGCTGGAAGATACTACCCTAGGTCTCTGCACAACTGTCCTCATTATTCTTCCAGTCACAGTCCAAATACCAGCTCTGCAGTGAGATGTCTACCAGGTCCAGACTGGAGAACCACCTCCTGCTGTGACTCTGCTCTGCCCCAGGTAGTTTTCTTCATGGCATTTAGTGCCATTTGACATCACCTTAACTACCTGCTGCTCTGT